TTTCTATTTTCTTAGAAAAGGGAAGGTAGATCCAAAACGCGATCAGCTTCTAAATCTCAGTCATCCATCATCCATGTTTGAGAGAGGTAGCTTGCTAAAGCTAAATGTTGATAGCACTTAATAAAGCCGTAGATAGCAGTACCCAAAATACTACTCAGGAATCCATCCATCCATCCATCCATGATCCACCCCACCATTGCATTGCTGTCAATCCACGGGCATTAAGGCTGTAGAATTCCACGTTAGCCACTGTGCATAGGCCAGATTGAGATTACCAAAAGAAAAGACTGCGCTGCACTGCACTTTATTGTCCAGCCAGCACAGCAGGGCAGCGGAGTACTATCTGAATTCTGAAGAAGAAACATTTGATCAGATACAGCTGGCCTACAAATACTTGGCCAAAACGTAAACGTAAAAGTTAAAAACCCAAAAAAGATTAAAAAGGAAAATTGGCCTACCTCATTGCAATCTGCAATAGTTATTTTTTTGTCGTCCATTTTACTTCCATGAAGATGAAGGAAAAAAAATAAAACAGAAAATCTTTCCTCCTCTTTTGCAGTCCACGTGTATGGCAAGAAAAGTTCGATAACTCCCAATTTCAATTCCCAAAATAAAACCCTAGCGTAGCGTCCCACCCAGTAACATCCCCACAGCTGAGCAAGACAAAAGCTACTAGTGCCTGAGCCTTTTTGTCTGCACCCAAAGAGAACGCAAAAAAAATGGCTTCCTCCGCAGCTATCACCCTCCTGCCCAAATCCCTGCGACCCAGAACCACCTTCAACACAGCCATCGCCACCCGTTTCTTCTCCACCGGGAGCTCAGACTCCCCGCCCAAACAAAAACCAACACAGAGGTTGGTTCCCCACCCGTTTCAAACAGGAGGGCCTCTGATGCCTGTAATGCATAGCCCAGTGAAGGGCGGTTGTCTGTTGAGGGTAAACATGCCGGGTGTTGGCCAAGATGGTCTGAAGGTCCATCTTGAGAACAATACTGTATTCTTTGAGGGTAAAGGAGAAGCGGAACACGAATCTGAAGAAGGGAGGGGTTATAAGGGCAGTTTCGAGGTGATTGGCATGAATATCAAGGTTGCAAAAATTGAGCCGGAGATGAGAGATGGGATTTTAAGGGCTTTTATCAGGGTCAATAAAATTGATGACAAAGCTCTTATGGCGTCCGATTGCAGTGCATCCTTTTGAAAAATCGACCATTGTCTAGCTTTCTAGTCTTTTTTGTTTTAGGTCCAGGGTGGGCCTGTTTTAGCTTTCTAGCTAAAATTTTGTGGTGAGGTATTGTGGTGGGTTCTTTATGCTCTATGATTTTATGGATAAAATGATGTTTGTATTAGTGATCTTTAATCCAGAGTGTAGCGGATGGATTTCTTTCCTTTTCTTTTCTAAATTTTGCATAATACTCATTGACAAACGAATCAAATCTTAATGCTGAAATTAGTGGGAAAACTGTGCATTTGATTGATTGTGATTTGGTCAATTTCTGTCAGCCTTATGCTGTGAAATTTAAATGGAGAATTAACCAATGAATTTCAAAACGAAAACAACAGATGATTGGTCTTCAGATGACAAATAATGAACACTTAATTATTATTTAAATTGCCGTTCATTACATAATAATTGTTTACAACGAATTAAATCACATACTGAGTGATTTTTCAAGTTGATGTGGGTGATTAACTCAATATGGAGACTTGCTTGTCCAAATTTAGTAGCTTTCTTATTTTGGGCTCTCTTCTGTTCTTTTATTATCACCATTGGCGCGGTTCGTCCAATCCTAGCAAAGCCAATGGAGGGTCGGTTATTTATTGAAGTAGCCCTTAAGTGCTTACAAATGAGTACTTGCTAATATTCAGTTCATATCTTTTTGGCACATAAAAAAGCAGCTTATTTTGTAAGCCCCGAGGTGGAAATCGATTTCCATTGGCAAATTCAAGAAAAAAGAACGCAATACAAACGGCTCCAATTTATGATTCATGTAAGCCTCATGCCTGCATTCTACATCGATCCATCAAACGCCAGATTATGTGTGTTGAAGAGTGACTGGCTAAGCCCTGTTTGGATTTTCATTTTCTGTCGAAAAATTACATCATTTTTCGTGATCATATTTTCCTATTATCTTTTTTTTTTTCACATACATCAAATCGTTATAGTAATTTTTTCATGAAAAATCATGAAAAATACAATCCAAACGGGACTGCATGAAATTATGGATCATTTTTGTCTAAAGATATCATAACTAAAATTACATGCTTGGATGAAAATTCGATTCTCTCCAAGAGTTACTTCCTTCCATCAAAACATTTTGTTTTAGGCTTCTCTTTTGGAATGGATCATGTTAATGGTACGAGGGAGCGACAGACTTTTTCTGCTCCCCGTGTCGCTTTCAAATTTGATTCTGTACCATTTGCATCCATCTTTTGCCTGCTTCTGCTGAGTTGCAGGCGCATGCCAAAGGTTTTTTGAATCCCGAGACACACAGACTCACCAACTTTTGCCAACTTAAGAGTTCTTTTTGCTTTTTAATTAAGGCACCATCTTAAGAGTTTGTTTAACTTGATATATTTCTTTTGAATGTTAGACCCCGATTTTTTTATTTATTTTTTTTGAAAGTATTACTTACCACACAAATTTCCCAAAGATTCTTGTAGGACGCTATGCAGCAACAACTACCTAAATACTGCATACTTAGCTCTTGTTTGACTAAAAATGGTAACAATTCTTACCATCAAAATTTTCGTACAATTGACAATTAATATTAATTTTGGAGAATTAATCAAGCACCATTTAGAGATTTAACTCTTTTGCATGCCCTCATCAATTTATAACTAGTATCTTGTAAATGCATGCATTCATGAAAAATTTGATCCTAATGCTTCATTTTTCTTTTTTTTTTTTTTTTTTTCCGTTTCATAGAGCTTTGAGCTGATCTTTAGCCTTGTTTGGATTGCTTGTTTCCGTCGGAAAATATTGTCGTTTTCCGTGATCACATTTTTTTCTCACATATATCAAATCGCTACAGTAATTTTTCCATAAAAAATGACGGAAAATGCAATCCAAACACAACCAATGTTTTTGGTCGAAACGATCGTATATTTTCAAAGACAAGGGTCGAAATGAGCAATGGACAACGGTCGAAAGAACCCATTTACAAAAGTGCTTACTAACACAGAAGAGCGGGATTAACCCATTCTCATCCCACGCATGCTTAAAGCATAACTGCTCGGTGATGTAATAATAATGGGAGTATTTGGATACAAAATTTATCTCAAATAATATTTCGCTTGCATCATAAACACATTTTCCAACCTACTTTTTTATATTCCCAATCACTTTTTTTATCTCACATACATCACATCACAAAAAGTGCTACATCTCCGCGTACAAAACAAAAAGCAGCACTGTGAAAACAAGTTTTCCTACTTGTGGCTTGTGGGTCATTTCTTTTATGTTTTTCCAAACATTTCTGAGATAATTAGCATAAACTTTCTGAGTTTCTATTAGTTCCTTGCGGTCTTTCTTTTTTAATTTTTGCTTTTAAGAATTGTATGTACAGCAGCCTTTAAGTATATAATAAATTGTTTCACTGTGAAATAAAGGTCTAAGTTTCACTGTGAAATCTAATGTCGATTTTAAGAAAATGAGGAAATAATTGTGCAATATTAGCCATTTAAATTTGCCACAAGCAACTTAAAAATTACTGTTGTCTGTTTGTGAATGATCCCCAAAGAGATAAGAATATAAGTTACTGTTGTCTGTCATTTCCCAACCCCGTCCAGGTTCCGACCACCCAAAAAGTGAAGGCAAAACAAAATGCTCTAGTGACACTAGTGTACTGATATTCAACACTGAAGCGTTGCAGTGTTGGTTTCAATCGTCAGTAGTATTTCATTTCATGCACTTCATTTCCCACGATGCCTCAATTAATTTTGTTGTCAAAATTGTGCGACACCATATCTGGCCAATTACATGAATTTTAGTGGTTGCTATGCCGATTTAAGCATTTGTCTGGTTTAAGCTGTTTTGTTGTGGCTTTGTTTAGAAAGCAATTTTTCTCTTTTTCAAAGAAAAATAGATTTTTCAATCACCTTTTTACCTCACGTATATCAAATCGCTACAGTAATTTTTCTGTAAAAAATTCAGAAAAATGCAATCCAAACAAAGCCAGTATGTGGTAGTAAGACAGGGGTTAGCATTTCAAAACTTAACATAGTTAAAGTAAGTAATATGCTTATGGTCATTTTCATTCAAATTGATGAATTAGCTTGATACTAATTTGAATTGCTTGACTCTCAATTATAAATAAGATTGCGTATCCCTAATGTTGTGGATTGGATTTCTTAATAGATGCCTTGGATTTTTGCCATTGTAAATTGCATATTAACATAAGAAAAGCAAAAAAGCATTACACAGGATTATAGGGGTACATATTATATATCATCATTTTAAGAAGCATACAGAAAGTTAAGAATTAATAGGGACTACTATATAGTATTATGTTTATACGCATCAGCATTGTTCTCACTTTCTTATCAAATTAATACTACTGTATCATTTTTCAGAATTATGAAATTGATCTCACTACATTTTGAGGTCACAAAAAGTATATTACACTCGCAAAATGTTGGTTCATCTGCTGGCCATACTGGTACCATCACCATGAATAATTAACCATCACAATTTGCCCCGTAACTTGAAACACCATGCTCTCAAAGTCCTCATCTGATCCAAAATGTTCCAAATTCCCCAACAACTAAATACATTTATTTCAATGCATTAGCCAAAATGCATTTGTATATACATTAGTTTTTCTTGTACATACTCCATTGCAGATGAATTTAGCTGCTACAACAAATCAGTAATTCATCAGAAAAAAAAAATCACAGCAAAGCACTTGTAATCAATATGATTACACGTGGCACAATCCCATATCCCCGCTCTTGCTCCTCTCTAGTACAAATTTTTCCATCAGATTCATTCTCCCACATGTCCTCCTTCACTTGACTGATACCAAGAAAATTACTTTCAACAGAGGAAAACCTTCATTTTCAATTCGGTCATCAATGGCTTCCCTAAGAACCCTCCTCACGGGCACAGCTGCCTCCTCCTTGAAGAAGCATCTGATCATCACAAATGCACGTCCAAAACTAGCTGCTACCACTTCACTTGCTCCCCACCGCCTTCAGCTCCTCCCCACCACCAAAACCTTCACTTTCCGCCCTCTCTCCGCTCCTAACTATTCCACCTTCATCGTTTCTGACTCCGACTCTGAAGCAGCAGATGAGTTCTGCTCTGATTCCGAGGAAGCCGTTGAAATCTTCTCTGATGAATCCAAGAGGGGCATTTTCCCATATGGTAGACTAAGACACAAAGCTTTGTTTCCTTTTGTACTCATTGGTTCCACGTTTTCCTGATTTCTTTGGTTATTCTTCTTATTGCAGAAAACCCTTTTCTAAAAGCTGGAAACAGGAACGTTTTCGAGATGCATGTTGATGATGAAGCAGCAAAGCTGAGGTTTGATTTCCCCGGGGTAGGGAAAGAAGGCCTGAAAATCTGGTTTGAGAACGGTAACCTGAAAATAGAGGGTACTGAAGATGCTACTGATGTTGACGGGGTGCCCAAGGAAGGCAGAAAGTATGCTGTTACATATGAGATTTTTGAACCAGGGTTGCTGAAAAAAGATGAAGCTAAAGCTGAGATGAAGAATGGGGTCCTGAAGGTGGTCATCCCCATGGTGAAATTTGAGGAGAGGAAGGAAGTTGTTCACGTCAACGTTGCCTGAAACTGAATCACCATTCGCCTACCTGGTTTCCATATCTAAGAGTAGATAGAACAATTTAGGATCTTCATCTAGTTTCGGACTTTTTCCTCTAGATCTGCTTTTGGTTATTTATTTGGAGACTTGGATCCCATTTGCTGGCTCATCTTCCTTATTGTTGGAGTCTTGAATCGATTAAGTATCTGTATTTAATCATGAGTATGATTTTCAAGACATCACAACTATTTTGGAATCCTTTCCTATGGGTAGTTGTACTGCTCCTCGTTTTATTTCTATTGATATGCATCTTTTAATCCTATTTAATTGGTGATACTAGTTTCATGGTCGTTTTCATATCTTTGTGTACATTTAGAATCTGAAAGATTAATGAAGCCCTGCACCAAGTACATACAATGGCTTTTGTGATATGATGATTGAATTTTTTTTTTTAACCTTCATGTTTAATGATATTTGAAGAAGAATAAAGCATGAAGAAGTTGGGGTACATCTTCCTCACTCTACTAGTGCGTGGGCCTTGCAGATTATTCCATGGCTATTCATCTGTTTATGAGGACCTTGTGTGTATGTATATACATATGTATGTGTTTGTTTGTTTGTTTTTTTTTAAATCTGTTTGGTAGTATAGTATGTGGATCATGCCAGTTTCCTTAACAATGTGGCCTTTGTTTTAGGTAGTGAGGATTTTGTCTAAATGATCCCTTTCTGCTAACTCGTCAGTTTACTGTTTACAGTGGTCACTTCATATATTAGGGACTGAAATAGAAGATGGCCACATCATATTACTCTTGAGTGTTTTAAATGGGTTTGATGTATGGATTGAATTTAGTCGTTCGAATGTTTGCATCAAATTGCTATGTTCTACTTCTTCTGATCTTCATTAATCTTCTTTGTGGTGGGGTTTTTTGTTTTTTTTTTTTGTTGTGGGGGGGGGGGGGGGTGTTAAAGAAATTGTGCTCTTTTCTTGCCATGCCATTTTTGTTCAAGCCATGATCAGACTCTTTGGTTTTTTTTTTTTTCCTTTTGAGGTAATCCATTATAAGACTTGAGCTAATACATGACAGAGTCGAAAAATTTTCCTTTTTCTGTATGATAGAAAGCCGTTGTTGGATATGTTTCATTGAGACATATTATTGTCGCATCAAAACATTATGAATAAGTCGGGCTTGCGTGGATAGAAAATTATTTGAAAATCTTAGTTTAGAAATGATAATGTAATATTTTTTTGTGAGGTGACAATGTGACATGTATCATATAAAATGACAGTTAGAAAAAAAATAAAAATTGATTAAGAGATGCATCTATTGCAACTAAAAAAGAATTCAAAAAAAAAATTCACAATCCAAAACCCAAAAGCAATTTTCGTTGTCACTATTTAAAAAATTGAGTATCAAAAATGCTCAGTACTTTATGGAGATTGAAGACAGTACACACTTAATAGGCCAAAGAGGCTGCACTCTTCTTATCTGTATGATGTGGATGTGGGTTCGCATTCTATTTTCTTACAGGCTGGTGGTTAACTGCGAGTGTCTGTTCTTTGAATTTTTTTTTTTTTTTTTTTGGGGATCAATCCGTTCTTTGATTCAATATGACTACTATTATTGTCTAGTGTACTTGAAGAAGTATCTACTCTGCTAAATTGTGATATGACGCCTACAATTACTACTAGAAACGCTACCAAAACAACAGATTTAGTGCAAGGCAAAATTTAAGAGAATCAAAATGAATGTCAATTGTTGCTGATTCTTAATCAAAGCGTGGATCACTTGAGAAGGGTAACCTACACAAACACAAAGATGAGTGCCCACGTTGACAGACAGCCTTCATCCTCCATTCTGTTCCTTATATACCGTTTCTGACATTTTGATCAAATCTGACATCTCCCTTTGCAATCACCACTTTATTGCTATAATCAACCGTACATTCTTCCAACCCTGCAAAAGTTCGTGAAATACTACCACATTACAGACCTATACTAACTCGACTAGTACAGGTTTAAACCTTGACATGCGATCTTTCAATCAATTTGTTACTATTTCTGAGAAGTTCTCACCATTGATCTTTGAAATTACTTGAAAAACTCTCCATCTGCAAATTGCACATCCAAGATTCACCTTCAATACTACCACCTGAAACTGCTTCAAGTAATGCCAATTTAAGCAGAAGATATCAAACATTTCAGAAGAATTGGATTACTTTCCAACTTTATCAAGAAAAAAAACAGAAAAGAAGTCATGTTCTAAATATGTGGAAGCACGAAACCAGTAGCTCTAACTCTAGCAAGTGAGTTGAGTTTCTGGACTTACCGAGGGGACTGTTAGATTTGCAACATGTAAAAGAACCCGCTTATCGAGCCTTTCCATCCAAGCATATAGAAGAAATTTTGTAATTAATGATGACAAAGTAAATTCTGCTTATGTACCGAAAACTTAATCGGTACACAGACCAACTTCCTTTATCCTCTCCAATTCACCATCGTAAATTAAAGCAAGGCCTACAACTATGTAGTATTTTTTTTGGGAGCACTCTTGGATGTTAGTCAATAATGCCTCAACAACTGTGGATTATATATCACGATGGCCTTCAAACCTGAGACACTGCGAAGCAATATATGTAGTACCAGGGGTGTGAATGGTTTGGCCGGTCGCATGTTACTGACCACCAAGAAAGATTCGCCTCCCAAAACGCTGTCTTTCATGTCCTCATCAAACCTTTTGCTAATGCCTTCATATTTTATGTGTAGATAAGGTTACAGATGAGTTTTAACTAAAGACTAGAAGCTCCGGTATGGAGAATAGTATTTCAAATATCCCAAAATGCGGTATTAAAATTGAATTAGCTGTTCGTCCGCCCATTTGGTTTACTGCTATTGGGAGCAGATGGAAACGAACCCTACTTAATTAAGTGAAAAAAGGCGCTTCCAGCTAAGCAATTTACATTAATTCGACACCCGTTGCCATCACTCTTTTTGCGTCAAAAGGTGTCATTGGTTAAGAGCATCAGGCGGCCAACGTCTGCTTCCCTTGGGATTTTATTAATCCACAAGAAGAATTAGCACAGCTATGGCAATTCCGCTGATATTGGCCAGTCCAGATTGTGCGAATAAAACCATCGATTAGTGTAACCATTGTTAAACATAACAGAATACTTTTAACTAAGCCCACAGCATCAGAGTGCAGAAATGATCTGTCAATATGAAGTGTAGTCAAAACCCGTTAACTTGAAACTTGATACAGGCCATTTAAACAAAGCTGAGTGGCACAGCATCAAACTGCAGAAATGATCTGCAAGTCTCAAGTGTAGCCAAAATCCACAAACATTGAACTTGATAGAGGCCAATTCCCCGAAATAAAGATCTTCGATGTTATCTGCATCTCTCCACCTCTCGCCCAATTACATTGTATGACAACTGAATCAGTAACATGAATGACGAATACAAAACAAAGGCAGCATTTTGGCAAATTATAACAGATTGATAAGAGATTCGCCAAGGAACAGACCTACTGCCTATTGCAATTCTCCTTTTGAGCTTATACATTAATCAATCCACACCGACCATCAACAGACCCCTTACCGCGCAATTTACCCTCTTTTTGAGATCATCTGATACAATAATCAGTCCATAGGCACACATCCAAAAGGCCAAAAGAATAATATTCCTTGTTTACTGAAATAGACAACTTAGCAGTTGCAGGAAGAGCATCGTATTAGTTATGTAACAGCAAAGTACAAGGAGCAACACATAAGTTGACGTTACTATCTCCAACTAATTGGCTATTTACAAGATCAGGGGGCGTTTGACACAGCTGGCTGCCATTAAACTTGTACCAGAAGAGACAGAAGACTCGTGCCAGTTAAGATTGCAAAAAACAGGGCCACAATTCATGTCGAGAACTCCACAATAACAGCAGAATCTTCCACATCTTGCTTTTCTGAGGACGTTCAGACCATCAGCTCAGTTAACAATAGAGTGTCCAAAAATTTTTCATGAATGTGGAACATCCAATGAAAACAGAGTGCCAAAAAATAAGAAATGTTATGGTACATGACTCCGATATAAGCACGGCTCCAAACTGAAACTATGATTCACCTCTGCAATGAAAGATGCAACATCAGAAGATTGATTGTAATATCTTAAAACAAATAACAACCAACTGAACTGATGGTCACTGGTTTTTAAAAAACCAATGACCATCAGCATATAATCCTTTTACAAATAGATGTCAAGTACCTCTGAACACCATAAAATTGCTCAATACCAAGCATCACGTAGTAAGATACAAGCATGTATTACAAATAGATGACTCGCAGGAGAGTGTACAATCTTGATCATCAGGAAAAATTCAGACTTGCATGATAAACTACAGTAGTTTGCTTGAAAACAGACTAAATCACAACTAACAGTGACATCTTTCAATAGAGATACAGCGAAAAGCCAAAACTATCCATCTCATTAGAGAATAAAACATGGGAAAAGCATTACCAAAATCATACAGTTAAAAAACCAATCAGCTTCCAGACCAAAGTGAAAAAAGAGTCCATACAAATTTATTTGCTCCATTCAGATTACTAACACAACACCCCACCCAACAAACCAATAATCAATCTAAATAGAGAAATGCAATATAGCAGATCAGAAAATGAAAAATAGCACCCAACTTTGGAGAATGCTCAAACCTCATAGTCATCTCCGCAGTGAAAATCCTCCATCCCTGCGCGACTTCTCCCCCAACAAAGCCCTTTCTCTTTCCTTTTCCCTCTTCTCCCTCTTCAACCTCTCCTCTCTCAACTCCTCCAAACTCTTCTTCTTCATACTACCCTCACTATCAGCACCAACATTGCTACGATCCTTCCTTCTCCCAAACTCCAATTTACCACCATAATCATGATCCTCATCAGCAACCATCTTTTTATCAGCAAAATCTCCACCCGGCTTCGCCATATACCACGGTAATTTCACGCCTTTCCCCACCAGTCCATACCCTAGCCTATACTTCTCGTCCTCCGCCGTCACCACCCTCACCTCCTCCTTCTTCACTCTCTTGTTCTTTTCCTTCTTCTCATCTCTGCTAACTTCTCTAACCTCATCAATCGGATCAAAAATTCGAATTCCTTCGAACAAATTCATGTGTTTTGAGTCGGATTCAGATTTCAACTCTACCGAAGCCGGTTTTTCATCGGCTTGGGCTTGGGGTTGGGCTTGGGCTACGGCTATGGTTTCGGCCGTGGAGGTTGAGGTTGAGGTGTTAGACAAGCCTCGTGCTCGACGGAGCTGTTCGAGGCGGAGCTCGGCGTCGCGCTTGCGAGATTGTTCGCGCTGGAGCTGCTCTTCTTTAGCCGCAGCTTCCTCATCGCGCCGGACTTTTTCGCGGTTCTCGTAATTGTAAACATTCCATCGTTTTTGAGGAAGAATATTCAGGCCACCGTGACCTCCCATCTTTTCAGCTTGAATTATGTATGGAGCTTTCTATTCGAATTTGATTCTTCAAGTATTTCTTGACCGGAAAGGAAATAGTAGAATTAAGTAAGAACCCTAATCTCGTTCAAATTTGTTGAACGAAATGAAGGAAGACGATCCGAAGGAACTTATTTATCCTTTTGGGTTAAAAGACTTGGCCCCCGGACTTTTATTAAAGAAAGCCCAATAGGAAGAATAGGTCCAATTACTCCAAAAACAGAGCAAGATTCTACAAAATCTTATTTTTTTCAATTTTCTAACATAGGAAAAAGAAAAAGTTTTAAATATGTTTTCCTTTTTACCAAATTAAATGTGTCAATCCTTAATCTGACCCCAAGTAACATTCCCCTTTTCATTTTAAATAAAGAGTCGTAAATTTGAAAGCAAAACATTTGTGACTTAAAAAAATTACGCTGGGTTTGGATGGTAGAATTACTCGGTAATTGTTGAAACTTTTCGCCTGACTAATCCAGTAAGGTGACTTGCGGAGAGAATTCATGAACTTTTGCTGCATGAAAGTCAGCGGAAATGCTTGTTTAGTACAGTATTTCGTATGAGTTCCTCGATGGGAATTACAAACATAAACTTCATGGATGAGGTTATGTATGAAGATCAAATCTCATCTCCTTGATTAATGGAAGCAAAACAACATTGCTGCCCAGAGGATTGAGCTACTCACAGCTTCTTTTATCTCTTCCTTTTCCATTTTTTTTCCTAAAAGCTGACAAAAATACAAGATCTGATTCCCCCCCCCCCCCCCCCAAAAAAAAAAAAAAGGACTTAAAAGCAATCCCAGATAGCTGCAGTGTATAATGGGACAAGCGAAAAGGATATCCCATAGAACCGAGGCTTACTAAACGACAATGCTATATGGACACTGTTAAGGAAAAAGTCACGGCTTCACAGGCTTTTTTTTTACGATGCATTATCAACATCTTTTTTCTGAGAAGTTTCGGCACATATGAGATGGGCAGTATGCAGCAACTTCTAACTTCTTGGATCTATCCACACCTTCCAATTGATGGGCACAATAGACATACAACGGCTGGAATATATCGAGAAATTCAACAGCACTGCCATCCCTGATGTTGCCCCGCGGCCTCTGGAGATTGATGTAGATATTACCCACTTCTTTACACTGCTTGCAAGTGCCAGCGTATATCCACCATATTTATTTGCCTTTGGTCGCCATATGCATCTCCAACTCTAATACCTCTTTAGAAGATGAAGTCACTCAGCTGGATAGGCTTCCGAATCTGGTCTTGGCCATGATGTTTGACAATATAGGCACTGTTTTCTACGTTTGCACTCAAGCAATTTATTCTGTGCCTGTAAAATTGCAGCATGTGCTCATGGTTGGGACAGTTATAAATATAGAAATAATTGGTTCTTGATGCAGAAGCAAATTGTTTGGAGAAGCAAATGTTTACCATTCAAAATGATCCTCGCAGCAAATAGAACCCCAGATAATAGAAAGCCCTGCTGCTTTCCTGCAAGCAATCGGTCGTTCATGAGGAAATAGAGAAGAAGAAATAATAGCCTGTGGTTGAGCATTCTAAATTTTGTCATCTCAGAATAGTTAAGGTTAGGTAATCAAGAGGGCAACAACATAAATCCAAACTAAAAAGGGGGTCCCCAAATGGGTCTTTCGTAAAACAATTCAACCACGGGACTATCTAAAATGGTATCTAGAACACAGAATGACCTTCCTGCTTACAACGAGGAGGACAAAAGCAAAATGGCAAAAGCACAAAGATGTATGCAGTGCCACCAAGAAAGAAGAGTCTGATCTAAATGTCACCAGGATCTTATGACAGTTTGATATTCATGATACAAAGTCCAATCCAAATTACCAAAGAAAAAGGGGGATAAACAATTTGAAACACATTCGATCCACCTAATATCAAAATTCAAGAGTACAAAAAGTATGAAACCAGGGAAGGCAAATCAAAACTTGTGTAAGATATAACTCATGAAATCAATTTGTGAGTAAATATCAATTTTCCACACAGAAACTGGGAAAATGGTGTTTTAGATTAATCAATATTGCTATCCAACCCATAAACAGCCTCTAATGTCACTTACCATGTGGCAGTGTACATATCATAGAACTTGTCAAAAGCTTTGTTGAGGCAATAATGACAAGCTAAGAGATCCTTGATGTCAGTCACCTGGCATGTCGATTTGCAGCATTTGACCTATTATGCAAATTGAATAAAACATGACAGAAAGATCAAGATCAATACTAAGAATTTAAAGATATCACAGTTATAGTACACCCCTCCAGAATGAAGATATTAGTAATCACAACAACATAAAGGAAAAAAAATAAACCAAATTGAAAAGTGAGTAACAATTGGTGGCCAGCTCTTGTGAATGAGTAGATTAACCAGATTAGCTAACATGGAGCATCCGAAAGGTGCCTGTCCAAAGTTTAATGTCTCTTCAAAATATCAGCTTGGACAAGTCAGCTAGTCTGTTACACATGAAATGTATTCCTACTCCTCAAGGCACAGCTTGCCATGTTTTAATAGCTTGCAATTCAAAACCTACTATCACCATTACCACTCTTAAGTTGGGGCATGTATGGGCAATATTCTGCACTTTCCCAAAGAGAAACCATCTCTGCGGCAAATGGCAGATTTGCTAAGTTAAAGAATGAGGAGTTATTGGGAGGTATATATGGATTGCATGTGTGAAGCTTTTAGAAAATATGAAAAATGGAAGGATGATAAACACAATCCAAGGATTATCCTTCACACAGTGGAACTCAAAAAACCCAGAAACATAACTGGTCATGTTTACATCCAAGAACTCACAAGAAGTCCATAGAAATGTGCAATAATATTTATATATCTGGTGCTAGAATCAATTCTTAAGAGCATAGCAGTCAAGAATGCAACAACTTTAAACCTTCACTCTGGAGAGATACATAGCTGAGAGAGAAACTCAACAAGCCACAGTTACAGAGCAGGCTCAACTTCTAAAACACCCAAAAAATAAAAATAAAAATATACTGAAATTGGAGGCAGAGAATAGGAATGAATTCTTACCAAACGCTTAAGTTTATAGGAGTAAAACTGTCGATGACAGGAGTGTGCCATAATGTGGTCTGCCAAATGACCTGCACTGGATATATCCAAAATTCAGTTCACCAACCACTTTCATCCAGGGCATTTCTGTATATTAGGATTTAAATTCATCATGATTTTTCATTTGCCATATTGATGAAGTTCTTAAAAACAGTCTTAAACATCCTCCAAGCCTTCAACTTGCTAGTTTACTTAAGGCATTTTTCAACAATTTGGAGAAGAAACAAAACATTGACACACCTAATCCTCAAACAAAGGTACAGCTACTTCACTTTCTAGCCTTTTGTTCTTGCATTCCAGAACATTACCCAAACAAAATAGTTTCTCTTATTCAAATTTGTCAATTTTATCATTTGCAAAGCCAATCTCCCACATGCATCCTGATTAGAGAAGCAAAACCCAAAGAAACAAAATTCTACTATTAGTCGCCAGTACAGAAATCCCACTCAACATGTTCTCTATCCAAAACTCACAATTCACAATAAACTGACAAGGGTTTAGAGACTGGAAAATAATATAAAATAACATCATCAACAGGTAAGGACAAAAGCAGCCAAAAAAGTAATTCTCAGTACCTGTCACAAAATGCATTACTACAGTTTAGACATGTAGCCAGAGTTGTTGATCCACGGCAAACACTACATTTTGCAGTCAAAAAGGTTTTGCCAATATTATGACATCTGCAGACAAGGAGAGACCAGAAAGAATAAAACATTGCTGGACAGAGACAATGACATGTACCATTCTGAATAATAATTGTACAAACTCAGATGCATGTAGTAAACAATTCAACATTTGGTTGTTCCATGACTGATAAAGTAGCTCTAATGTATAATTAGAAGTTATAGTTCAAAGAAGTGAAACACGGTTCAGCACATGATTACAGCCACAAAATTTGAATAAAATTGTACAGATCAACAAATCCTAGTGGCACGTATATCCATTGCTTTTTGTCTGGTCTGATGATATTTCACTGGATGCTGAACGCATCAAATCTTTACATCATTTTCTAGATGCTACTAACAAACTGAAAATGCCATTGTCTAAAGGATATTCAAATAGCATGTTTGTTTCAACATCATTCAGTGTATGGCATAGCCAAATCCAACCTAAGACAAGAAAAGGAACCTAGTTTCTTCTACACAGCTTCATGTCTCAAAGCCAACCCTTCGTTTCAGTTTCTCTACTTCATTCTTTAAATTTCTGATTGAGATATTTCCAACCAGAAAAATACTGGATAGCCAAATGACACTTCAAATAGAAATACTATATCTGAATCCAAGCTAAGCATAAAAGAAATTTTGAAACCTTTTGTACAATTGAAGAAGGTCTCTGGGTATAGGATTGGGTATCTTCTGAACTGATCCCTCCTGTCGAAGAAAAATTTCCCAGCATGACTTTCCCTGACAGTGACCTACAGCCATCAACTATAAACTCTCTAGAACACTAAAAAGAAAACAAGTACCTCGATGGATTTCTCCCCAGATGAAAGGAACCAACTTTGAGATGTTATCACCAAACAATCTTCAGCAAGATGCCCAGGCCTCTGACATTTCCAGCTACAACAGCAAGATGAATATCATCAAATTCATGATGCAGAAGAGAGTTACTCATTCTCTTGCATAAGATGGTACAGAACATATGTAAATGCTCCAAGCTGCTAGTCTATCCCATGAACATATATAATTATGACAAATCAATTATACGTGAGCTTACCATTCATATGTACAGAGACTAGATCTCTTCTTGGACGAGCAATTATGGTCATAGTCCCATGTGTCTTGAACAGATTCAGGCACTTCCAAAGAGCCACCTGCTTGAGAGAAGGAATCGAAAACAAGCCTGCTGCTTACAGGACCCTGGTATAATTACAAGAAAGTTGGCAATGTGTGAAAGAATGCACGGTAAAATCCAACTGGAAATGAAAGTAAAAGCACATACCACCTCTTGGGATTTAAACTTTTGTAGAAGCTCAGCTTTGCAGTCCATGCTGCATACGTCGTCATCGGTCTACTAAGCAATATGCAAGGTGGTCAGGTAATTACCCAATAAACAGAACAGAACTGAAAACTGAAGCATGAAATACCCACCTCATTGCATATATACTCCCCATATTTCCCACAAACAACGCAAACAGGCTCACCAGGTAGAGGAAGTCTCTGCTCACTTCGACTTTTAACTCTATCAACTCCAGTTGTGCTATCTGATAAAAAATACAAATTGAGCCAAAAAAGCCATAAACAAGAAGATACTGGATGGCATGAAAACTCAAGGCATCAAGAGGTTCATCTTTGTCTACCAAGACTGTTGCACCCTACAGAATTTAAGATGCAGCTTGAAGTTCCAAACTACAAGCTATTAAAAGGTAACATCAAATTGAAACCCAATGGGATGGAAGATGCAAGATTGTACTTAGAAATGAAAGCGATCAATAATTTACTGAACAATAGACAAATTCGAGGCAGCAAAAAGCTTCTTGCTGATATTGTGGAAAATAATTGTACTAATACATATATTTGCAAATCATATCGAGACAGACAGTTAAACTAACTGCCAAAGTTGTAAATTGAAATGTAAGACCAGCACTTGCCTGGAGAATTCATCAAAAGACTATCATTTAGCAAAACAGAACTAGTTCAAAGTAGCTAATATGCATTAAATTGTTAGTAACTTGCAAAATATAGGCAAAAGTAGGTAATTGAACTTGCATGTTTCATCAAGTTCAAGTGGAATCACAATGCAGAACTGCTTCATCAAGTGTCAGTGCACGCAAGAATTTGCAAGCACTGAATAGACACACATGCGCACAGACTCTTCCTTGTTAAATAGATATGCTAAAGATTCAATCCATGCAGTGACAAACCAGATGTAGAAGGATTCTGGTCATCTGGAAGTGATTGTAGCAGCCCTATACAACCACTATTAGGATATTGCTTTTCTCCAACTTCACTAGAAGAACTGGAATCGCCTGCACATTTTTTACGTCACATGATTTTAGACAACAGGAATCACCAACAAAGCTGAAATTACTTAGAAGTGCAATACTATAGAATATATAATTATTGGAGAAAAAAAGTTAAAGCAATTGAAAGCCACGGAAAGGGGGGAACTAGACCACAGGAAGCATAGTCAAAGACAATCAGTAATCAGGAAATTCAACTTCCATTTTTTGCCCAAGTTAAATGGCAGGCACAAAAGGAGCCATTTATTTTACTAGCATACAAAAATGTGTTTATGTGTCCACGCATATATACAGCAAACAGGCAAGGGGAAAAGGAGAAGTTAGAAAAGGACACGGTAGGGAATGATGTAGGACAAGGGGAAAAGGAAATAGCAAGTAGCAATAGCTGTCTTCCTTCCAACATACACATGATCCAGTATTAAAAAAAATATAATAAAAAAAAAAACCAAGAGTGAGATGAAACTAAAACCTCAAACCTAAAAGTTGCATAGTTGTTTGCTTCCAAGCATTTCTAAGATATCCTATTTCCATACGAACACTCATATTCACAAGGAAGACTAAAACTCCAAACAGTTTAAAAAGATATGCATCCACAAAGAAAAACGAGAGCTTACTATCATACTGTACTAAATGCAAAACTGAACTTGAGCTTCCCTGCACCCAAAATGAAAATGAAAAAGAATAATTCAAAACTTACCAAATTTAACTGAAAAGTTACAATAATTTACAATAATAAACAACCAGCATAATTCAATTTTAAGTACCAATACATCTGCAGATAGTTCTTCATAAGGCTGAGCAGCAGAATTAACCTCCTTCCTGATAGCCAAGTAATTAATCAGTTCTCAATTCACCAGCACCTTAATTCAAGCAAATTAGTCAATATTAATTGAGAGAGAGAGAGAAAAAAAAAGAACTCGGTGGTTTATCATTACTAACCTTCTCTTATTAATGTAGTCCTGGTGCGACATAGGGCCTTTACTTTCTCCAATTTCATCGTTCTGGACCGCCGGCGGTTCCCGCTCCCGTCGGCGCTTGCGATGTCGTACGCTTTTATCGTCGGCGGGGACTGGCTCAGCAGCAGTAGAAACATTTCCAGTGGCGATATTGTAAGCTGAAAATATAAAAGAAAATTTGAAAAAAAAGAGACAAAAAAAACCTAATTGCAAAGCTGAATATTTCCATTGATAAATGAGGATTGGGAAAATAATGATTCGTTAATTACTGGTTAGATTTTGAAGGACGGAGTTGAGATTAAATTGTCTGTTGTAAGCGTAAGAAGGGTTCTTGTAAAAATTGCTTCTATTCGCCATATTCCTTTCTGGATCCTAATCAAACAGCCTTTATAACCACCGATGGCGGGTTGATATATATAACCGCGCCTTTAAGACTTGACTTCTCAAGGCGCGGGAAAATGTATCCACAATTCTTGACTTCGTTCCCATTCAGATGCCACATCATAAAGGCGTGGTATAGTTGCTGGATATCTCACGCCTTTCAGTTGCTTTAGGGAATACTACATTCCCAACGCGTGGGCTTGGCAGTCATGGATGGAATCCACGCCTCTTTCCCACCAGGCAAGAAATGAGTTTATGGTACTGATAAATCAAAATTTGGTGACGTTAAGATTCATAAAATCTAGGGAGAAGGGATGGGTGTAATAAAATCAAATAAAAGAGAAAGAAAGAGTCACTTTTGCCCCTTTTTCCCTTGCCCATGCTACTTCATATATTTAAAGGCGTGACGTTGTTGTGTAATAATAAAAAGATTAATTTTATATACATTGTCAACGTATACACTATCGTGTCACCGTTAGATATATGACACATGTATAGTCTAATCGTGATAGTGCATACAATGACAGTGACAGTGTATATAAAATTTACTTATAACAAAATTATGTCTTTAAATAGGGATTAATCTTTCCTATACTAACATATTGAGTGACAATTATGCAAAATTTAAATTTGAAATTCAACTTTTACACACATGTTATGAATCAAACCGTAATAGCGTATACATGGCAGTTGATATAAGATTTACTCTTACAGTAGTACATATTTATTTAACTACGGGCTAACCCAGTGATCATTAATGAAACGATTAAAATCATTTAGTCGCTGCCAAATTACATGTTGATTACAGTATACTACTGCATTTTTGTGCTTTTTTTTTTTTTGGTTTTGTAGAAAAAAATTAAATCATAGAAAAAGTTTACCCCATTCCAACTTCCAAGAGTAGAACAGGACATTAGTACATTTTTCAGCGGCTCATGATGATTACCACACCAAGTTGCGCCTCAATAAGGTTCTTACGCATTACTAGTAGTTCCACAAGTGACAGAGACACAAACTTGAATCTTTTACTTAGTATTAAATATGGTGAACGACTTATATTAGTTGAGCAGCCGCCGTTGGCATATAAATGAAGCAGTGGAAGAGAAAATGACTCGTACTACCGCCCCAAGCACCAGGGCATCTTCGCTTGAAATTGACAACGCGGAGGGGGATTTGGGTAGTTCTTAAGCTCCTCAGGAACCATCCAAAGTTACCGGCTTTTGGTGGTTTCTGTGGGTTTAAGTTTAGGATTTACAAAAGTCAAACTATCGTAATTGACAAAAAAGACATGACACTGTTGTCGGGGTGTGTGAGAGTTCTTCTTTAAGGCTTAGTAGCCACTCTGTCAGGTGTGTAGTCCCACATCGAATATGGGAGGGGGATTTGGGTAGTTCTTAAGCTCCTCAGGAACCATCCAAAGTTACCGGCTTTTGGTGGTTTCCTGTGGGTTTAAGTTTAGGATTTACAAAAGTCAAACTGCCGTAATTGACAAAAAAAAAAAGGACAACGCCGAGAGTTCGCCTGATCAACATGGTCGCTAAACTCTTAAGATAATGTCCAATTATATGCTAGTATTACTCTTAAAGTCTGTTTGCGACCCATGACGGCTGCACCGTCGGAGGCAAAAGACGCGTAAGATTGCTATGTGCGATGATACAAGACCACTCTTACAGTCAAGCCGTGGACCATTGACCCTATATTTTAGGGTAAAATATAAAAAATTTCCTTTATGATTTAGGATTTGATCACGACACCTTCTTATTATTATTTAAAAACTCTCTCATAACCCCTTTGATTTGAGCTTCTTTGAATTTTTACTTGAAAATGGTTATACTTTTGGTATTTCATTTAGTTACTGGTTACAAAAGGTTTCAGGTAAAAAGCCCTTGATTGCAAAGTAGAGTTGCTCCTCCTTGAATGACTTTTGGAGCTATGACGACCTTTCTAATATTACTAGTAAACATTCATACTTTGACGAGAGAAAATGTTTGTCGTAGGGTTCTAGAAATTGTCAGTGTTTACACCAAAGCTAAAGTAGTAAAATAGAACTTTTATTACTTGAAGTCAAGAAATGAGAAAACAAAAAAAAACAGAGCATAATCAACCCTATACGTATACATTCGACTCCCCCAAGCCCACGGCACTGCTTTTGTGCTTGAAATGCAAGGCAAATTGCTATATTCTCTGATCCCTTGACAAATTTAGTCGGCCTTAGGTGAAGAAGCTTATGGGAGATTACATTGATCAAACTATTCAACCATTGCCCTGGATAGGTTTGTATGCTGCTGCAGCCTCTTTGATCTGCACGCTCTCAATGGCTGCTGATGCCGTCCACGCAGTCCGGTGTAAAAAGTTCTGGTTCCCATGCAAGTTTTTTACTCTCAACGCAATGACCTTGACGTTGTTAGGTGTAGGAACGAAGCTCACAGTTGACCTTAACACTCCGATGGAGGGTACTAGAGATCAGCTCTCAAAGCTTAGCAGCACAATTTTCATGACTTCTGTAATGGGTAATTCTCTAACCTCCTTGGGAGCCATGGATGACCAAGAAATGTTAATGAGTCTCATGGCCTTAGTTATTCTAGTGGTCACAGCCATTGTAAATATCTGCATAGAAATTCGTCTTAATGTGGCAGATTACTCTTTATGGACTGAATACATTTTGGCCACAACTGTCATGTTTATCATGTTACTGATATTTGTTTCTTCCGCTTTATCTGTTCCAATTGTCAAGGAACATATCAAAGCTCAGTACCAAGAAATGGACCAAACAGCTTTGAATGATGAAAATGCCCAAAATGGGACATTCTCAGCTGAGAATGTAAAATCAGTAATTAGAAGGTATTGGGTGATGGCAGCAACGGGTAACCCCCAATTTGTGATGGCACGTTCTGCAACCTCCACCACTTGTGGAGCAATCTGTCTACTAAGCGCCCTTACTCTAGGTGAAGCAATAATTCGTATTTCCAATCTCTATGGATTACACAGTTCTTCCGATTATCATTGGTCAACCATGTGTATTCTGGTGGTTCAGTCTGTTGGAATTGCTGTTGGTACCATTGCCCCTACGTTTAGATGGTTCACTGCTGCAATTTTGAAATGCTTAGAAAAACGCAGAAAAGGCAACAAATTTGAGTTGAAAATTGAGACATATTGGACGCAACAGCTGGAATATTGGCAGGAAAGCCGCATACCTTTTTCAATCCGGGGTATTAAGGGCAGAAAACTTGTTTACAATATAAGATATATCATTTTAAGTCTATGCATAAAAGTTCAGATTATGATTGTCGGGGCCGGTAAATTCATTCAGCTATTATCTGCTAGCCTCTTGAGCTTCTTCAAGCTGTTGCTATCTCGTATCAAGATACTCAGGGTTGAATCTGAATTTGATTCTTCTGCCTCAACTGATCAAAGGCATCAAGATCCTAAATATGGTGAGGAACAAAATCTTAGCCCTTACATTCTACTACTTGAAGGGGAGATAGAACTGCCCAGACAAACCTTGAAGATAGTTTTCTGTGAGGTGGATGAATTGATCCTCAAAGGGAAAAAACAGCAACCAAAGTATTTACTTGAGCTTCTGGGAAAATCTCAAGGCTTTCATGGGGTAGCAGATTTCGATAATGAACAAGTTCCAAGTTTGTGTTCTAAAGACCCTCCTAATTGCTGGACTCTACCTGTAGTGACCCTAGCAAGCATTGCCATTGCACTTCCCAACATTCAGAATGACAAAGCTGATCGGTTGCTAAGAAGCGTCAGTGAAGGCCTCCGCTTTGCAAACATGATAGTGAAGCACCAGAATAACAGAAAGGAATTCATCAACATCTGCAACGCAGCAGATTTGGTGTGGGTTGGGCTTGAACTCTATCACAAGTGGTTGGAGGAAGATATTAACAGTCTTGAAGGGAAAACATCCCCAGAAGTTCTTGAAGGCCTTGCCAAAGTAGCTGAAAGGAATCTTATTGAGTTCAAGGCAAGTAAACATGGAAAGCTGCCTGATAATCCACTTCAATGGCCTTTAAAGGTCATAGCAGCTAATTCATTGTACAGAATTAGCAAAACTATGTTGCTGTACTATCAAGGAGGCAATGATCTTACGGATGAACAATTATTTGCAAAAATATCTATCATGATTGCAGATATTTTTTTGGCTTGCCTTGCCAGTTTACCACATATTATATCTATGAAGTGCCACTCTGATGCGGTTGAAAAGAGGGAGAGAAGCATCCGTCAAGCTGCTATTCTCCTGGGTGAGTCTGAAAAAATTCTTGAAATTCTTCATGAACAGTGTGAATTATCAGGCTTCACTCCCGATCCTGCAGCAGATATTTATCAGTGGCGTCTTTTAGTCAATCAGAGAAATTTATTTGCTTCAAATTCTTTATCCAACGATAATGCAACTCACAGGCAAGCCGGTGAAGATGATGTGTAACTGAAATAAAAGCCTGAGTAGAGGCATTAAAGACAACATACATGATATCAACATATGTATTTCCTCTTTCTTAGATAGAACAGTTGAATTCTTGCCATTCTTTAGGATGATACAGGTTCTGAATCTAAGGGTTATCGATTATTAATTTGCATACAATTCTGGTTTGTTCTAGCAATGTATGGAAAATCAAGTTCTAGTAGTAATACCAATACCATGTTGCCTGGACCCTTGACCTCCGAGCGCATAAATCCAATTGGAAATGTCTTCATTGAAGCAGGAAACAATCTTGTGAAAAATGAATTTGGTGCATACGGCGAGAAAATCTTTGGGTCAAGTTCATCATTTCTTCAAAGCAATTATGTAAGCAGACACCTCTCAAATCCCCAATACTATTTGGAAGTGAATGATGACTACGTGAAGAATAAAATCAAGATGATTCTCTTTCCTTTTCTGCACAAGGTATGTAGAAAAATGTTCATATATCAGTGAGATTATTCTTTTCTCCTTCTTACTTTTGACAATAACTGGGATGTCTTCTTGATTCATTTATACTTCCAAAGTGCTTGCATGATGAATTTAATTGTTTGGCCACCTTGCATTGTGAATATAGGGACACTGGATAAGAGCAACTGAGATGGTTGGAGGTGAAATTTTGTACAAACCTCCATATTGTGATATTAATGCGCCTGATCTATACATCCCCATGATGGCATTTGGCACTTGCATGGTTCTTGCTGGCTTCTTTTTGGGCATCAATGGAAAGTGAGTCATAGTCTGTTTCCCACTCCAATTAGACTAGTACTGTTTTGCCTTTCAAAGAAAGAGATATTACTACCACTTATTTTCAAAAAATGATATCGTCAGACCAAAGTTTTGATGCTCCATCAAACATGACAAGACTATACGGCTCAAGTCAATTTGTGATGGTATTTGATTTGGCAGATAAATTCATTACATTTAACAAAAAATTGCAGTGACATTAAATTTTGTGTTTTGGTATTAACATGAACCCTTGTTTAACTGTAGCTTTAGCCCTGAAGCTTTGGGAGTGCATTTTACAACTGCATTACTCTGTTGGATATTGTAAGTTCTACTACTCGGGGCCACATTGCATTCTCTAGGAGGCGGAGGAGATATTCCATTGCTCGGCTTGGTTGCTTATGGTGGATGCATTTTTACAGCAGCATCTGTAATTATCAGTTCTAAACAACCAGGGAATCTGAAAGAATGTCAAATCCTTTGTCAAATCTTTGGATCCAAAAGCAAAGGTATTTCATGGTACATATTTATATCTCAATTCAACCGACCTTATAATTAATGCATTGTTTTAGAAGTATTTCATGATGTATATTTATATCTCAATTCAACTGGCCTTGTAACGTGTTGTTAGACTTTTATAGCTGTATTCCCTCAAAAAAAAAAAAAGAAGACTTTTATAGTTGCATTATCTCTATTGGAAGATGCGAAGCTGTTTGCATTATAACAGTTCCTTTCCAATGCATCTGAATCATAATTTAATCTTCTAAACCTTCACCCATGCATTTGGACCAGCCTAATTTCATACGCTGTCACCTATCACGGTGATGGTAAACAATGAAGTTAAGCGGTTACATATTAAGAAAAGAGCTTCCTCTTGGCAGCACTACAAAGAGCAGACAGTAAATAGTTGACGTCCTATGTGTCTAGTGCAGTGGCTGAAAGAACTCGTCAATACAATGGCCTAGGCGCTAAAACTAAATCCAGTGCTTTATATAGGATTCTCAATGAATGTAGCCACACATTGTAGCAGAGCCGCCACAAAGAATTAGCACAATGCCTTATGATCCTTGTGATAGCATAATTTGTGAAGTAGTGCTAAAACGATATGAAGCATGCCAGCGAACTTTACAAGAACTAGCACAATATGCTCAGCCGCTGATCTGGATAGGTTTCTATATTGCAATTGCATCTCTGATCTGCTTTCTGGCAGTGGTGGCTGATATTTTCCATGGTTTCCGTCACAAGAAGCTCTGGTTTCCTACCAAATACTCTGCCCTGAATGCTGCTTCACTAACAGTGTTAGGAGTGGCATTGAAGCTGTCTGCAGACTTGAATAATCCAATGCCTGGCAGTTCTGATCAGCTAACAAAGCTGAGTGGTAATGGTTTTCCTGTGTACCTCAATGTGCGTGTTCTTGCTTTCTTTAGGGCCATTGAATAATATTGAAACTTGGACGAACCTAGCTGCATTAGGTATCCTGGTCATCACCACTTTCGTGGATATCTGCATCCAATTAGGAACCGAGGTAATTAACTTCCTAAAGTAGAGTATATCATTGTTATTTTAGTCGCTATTCTTAATCATATTACTTTGTTCCACTGCTATCGCAATTCCAACCACTAAAGCATATATTCAACACAAGTACTCTGAACTACACAGCTCGATTTTAAGTGAATCAGAAGAAAGCAGGAAGCTTACAGCCGAGGTGCTGAAAATACTGGATGATGGCTGAAACTGGGGCCCCCAATTTGTGATTGCTCGCTCTGTGACCTGCTTTGCTTCAGGGGTAATCTCTTTTTCCTAGGCTGCCACCCTAACTGAAGCAGTTTTTAGAACGTATCTACATGTTTGGGAGATAGTTGGCAATGGTAGTTATACTGATTATAGAGATGCCATCTATATTATATGCATTATTCAGTCTCTTGGGGTGATTATGGCAACTTTTATCTCGGTAAACCAATGGTTTACCCTAACAAAATTCAAGTGGTTAGCGGAAGGCAACGACATATGCTGGTACAGTTTGAGAATACCAAATTTCTGGATACAGAGACTAGAAGAATGGGAGGAAAGTCCTTTATCCGTTCAAGTTCGTGGACGGAAGCGCAAGAAATTCGCTCAACGAGCAAAGATTCTTGTTCTTAACATCTGTATTGCAGTCCAGAAAGGTATCATAGTAGTAAGCAAAAGCTTGCAAACGTCTTCTATCTTGTGTCCAAGTTTTGTATTGTCATTTCTTAACTGCTGCAAGAGACAACTTAACCCGAGTTCTGCTGCGTCAAACAATCAGAACGGATCAGTTCCAGAGTCTAGAAGTGACCCAGATCTTGGCCCTTATATTTTATTGCTTGAAGACGACCCAAAATTGCCCAACAGAGTCCTGGATAGAATATCTTCGGGTGTTAATCAATTCATTCTGACTGGTAAAAGGAAACAACCCAAAAGTTTAGGTCAGCTTCTCATGAAATCTACAGGCCTCAAGGGGTTGATAGAGTTTGACAAGGACCAAATTCTCAACTTGAATGCAAAAGAGCCTCCTAATTCCTGGACATTGCCTTTAATCACATTAACAAGCATTGCAATTGCACTTCCCAACAACGAAGCTGACCTTGCAGCCGAATTGCAACGATCTGTGAGGGAAGGTCTCTTGCATGCTGAGAAAAGCCCGGGCACACATGAGAAACTAACAAATTTCAGAAATGCAGCAGATGCTGTATGGGTAGGAGTTGAACTTCACTTCAAGGGGCTGAACGTGGATCTCCTACAAGTTACAAATGACTCGAAAAAATCATGAATCCTTTGATGCACTTTATTGCTTATCCGATGTTGCAGAACACACTTTCAAAGAGTTCAAAAGAAAATATAATGGCAGCCTGATGAAGAATCCTCTTAACTGGCCTTTGAAGTTAATTGCTGCTAACTCAATGGACAGAATCAGCCAAACCATTTCACTGGGCTTCAGATAAGACAGTCCGCCTTCAGATGTGACCAAATATCCATCATGATTGCAGACATTTTGGCTGCTTGCCTCACCAATTTACCACGAGTGATAAACTGTGAAGTGTTAGGCTGACAGCACGATTAAGGAAAGGGTGGCGAGCGTGCGTGATGCAGCTCTTCTTCTGAAGGTATTATAAAAATTCTTGATGGACGTGACGTTCCAACTCTGGATCCTAGTCAAGCCGCATATATTGATGAGTGGCGCATTGCAATCGAGCCAGAAAATGTATCATCTTAACCTCGGATAGATGAAGCACGCTTCATTTCTCTTAGTATAGTACCCCATTGCCTTGATTAGGAGACAGCATCATCACGAATTTACATTAATCTCAGGCCGTTTAACCCAATTGGTTCCAAGAATTAAGAGACTGAATTCCATTTATGCTCTCCAAATGATCATCTTAAAAGGCTGTAGCCTGATTTTAATTTCTTTTTCTTTTCAAATATAAGTTTCATTAATTAATTTTTTTTTTTTATTTCCTGGAAGAGTAGGCACATTTCTGACCTTAGAGGTCCAAACTACCATCATCTACCACGAAATTACCTAACACCCTCCGCAAATTATAGACACTGACAAAGGAGTGCATAATTAGAAGACTTGCAGAATTAAACACACCAGTTTTTCTAAACCAATAGCACTTGCTCGCAGGAATTGTACTCCATAGACTAGAACCAAATTATTGACTAGGAAAGGCACCATTGCCCACCTGCTTCCTCGATTTTTCTCTCCGCTCGCTTCATTTTAAATTTATATCCAAGGGAACAAAAAAGGAAAAGCTCAAAAAAAAAATCTTTTCTGCCCCATCTATTGAGGAACAATTTTTATGTACAAAAGTCAAAAGTTTCCTTTCACCAGTCAAGCCGTCTTAGATGATTTTGAGCGTGTTCACCAACTAGGACATCTCCTGGTTTACATCGACGGCTGAGGTTTCATTGTTAATAAATCATCAAGCAAGGGCCGGCAAAAGTAGTCCACTGATGACTAAACATACATACGCCGCCTTATTCTTCTCACCAGTAAGCGCTGTGGTTAGCTGGCGTTAAAACCTTCGACCTAAACTTCCTACCAAATTCTGATCCCATTCAGATCCCAGACTCCAGAAAATTTTCACATCCCAAAAGGAAAAGAAAAAAAAAAGCTCAGAAATTTGAAGTTCATAAAAAAAACAAAAAAAGGATGAGTCTTTGGACAAGCTTTGCAGATTCAACAACCCACTACACGGGTTTATCCCCGACAGCATTCTTCACAATATTAGCAATGATGATTGTAACCTACAAAATAGTATGCGGGATGTTCGTGGCAGGAGGGGATTACATGGAGGTCAAAAGGACAAATGAATATGTAATCCGAGAGCCCGTACAGTTAGGGGATCAGGTGACCGAGGAAGAATTATCAGCCTATGATGGCAAGGACCCTAACAAGCCCTTGCTTATGGCCATCAAAGGACAGATCTATGATGTTTCCAGATCAAGAATGTTTTACGGTCCTGGTGGTCCCTATGCCTTGTTTGCTGGGAGGGATGCAAGTCGTGCCTTGGCTCTCATGTCCTTTGACCCTAAAGATCTCACCGGAAACATTCAAGGTCTCAGCAATTCTGAGCTTGAAACCTTGCAAGATTGGGAATACAAGTTTATGGAGAAGTATGTTAAGGTTGGGCAGCTTGTTTCTTCCCACAGGACTACTCAAGAAGCTGGACAAGAAAGTGGAGACAAGAATGAAAATGCCCAGGGAAATGAAGCAGAGTAAGAAGCCCTCCTAGAAGCCTAGGTTTTTTTTCCCCTCTACTAAATTACTCTATTGAAATTAGTGATTCAAATATGAACGTTGATATATTTTGAGTCAATTGCCAATTCAGTATGAAGACGTAATATGTTGGCTACTTTGTTTTGTACTAGTATTTTGATTTCACAATTGCAATACATGAACTGCAATTGTCAATGGATCAAACAGAAGACTACTAGTCATATTTACAGTGAGTTGCAAGCAAGAAATCAAACTCAGTTACCATTGGTTACAGTGTTCAAGATTGACCTTGTATTAATAACAAAGCTTGCAGCCGTATTATTAAGAAGAGCCTCCTACTGGGTAGCGTTCCAGTGGACAAGATTGACACAGTATGAAGAACCGAAAACCTTGTTTGTCCGAACCCCAGCCGTACTATCAAGATTGATTGGAACTTGTACGAAGTTTAGTGTATGAAACGATGGTTAGGATTCCAAGTTGCAACATTGATTGTGACTTACAATGGTTCCTAGTTCAGCCTGCAGCCAATGCCATGGATTGGCTTGCATTGCTGCAACAACATCTGCAGTTTATGTATTATGTTAGCCCATCAGGGCTTCACGGATGCTACAAGAAATTTTGGTTTGAGCACGCCTTGCTTTTTTAGCTGTGACAGCTAAACTTTCTGTTGATTGGATGCCTTGATAATAATGATACCTCAGTGGTACGCTCACCATTCTTGCTTTCAATCTACCGAGATGGAACGTTTGAATCCTTAAGCGCTCATCAGGGCATTATATATATATAGTCAATAATTGGCTCTTCCATCATCAACTCCAGATGATTCACTGGGTAACAGATACCCACACTAATCTTCATAAAATGTTCTGCATTTCTTTGCTCTCAAGCATACAAGTTTGTGTTTTTATTGCACTTATTGTCTTGAACGAATTTCACTTTAAATCTCTGTTTATCCAATTCAACAGAGTTTGGAATATTCTGATAATGTCTTTCCTTCAGGATCTGGTTTATTAGCTATGAATCAGTTGAGGTCAATCAGAAACCTACACATGTAATGTCATAGAAAACTTCCTGGATGGTTAGATACAACTCGCTTAGGCAATGATGTACCCAGTAGTATCTGAATTATACCTTCAAATTCTTCAACTTCAACCATCCATTTTTCTAAACATTCTGCAGCAATGTGACTTTCCAGCTCCTGAACCTAGTCAAGCCGCAGCATACATTGACGAGTGACGTGCTGCAATGAAGACAAACCTTCCATCAGTTTCCAATGATTCAGGACACTAAAACAGCTTCGGTCCATTTGGGCAATGCTTGTCTGCCTAACCTGTGAAATCATTTAGACTAGAGCACTTTTAGCAATTTTGTTTGGTGTTGGTAAGCATGTTTTCAAGTTTAATTCAGTTTCAAGATTCTTTAGGACTATTATTCATTTACGTTGCAAACGTGCAATCACCGAGAAAGTCTTGATCAGCTACTAAAACTTATCGTGGACAGCCTTCTGATATTACTAGAGCACTGTTAGCATCATAAGTGCGGAATCCATATGGTTTATTTTACATCATAGAAGACTCAGAAGAAAGCCATCTATGCCTAGAAATTACTGCTACCCTTCTGATCTCCATCATCATTTTTAGCGAAAGTCCATTTCAAAGTTGAAGGATGGATTTTTAACTAAAATCATGAGGGGCAGTTTCAAACAAATGTGCAAACAATTGACGAAACTGCCTTCCAAATAAGACTATGAAGATGAACGAGGCCGAAAGAAAAATAACGAAGAAAACCCGTAAATAGGGGAAGAAGAAAGAAAAAACACTACTATTTTTGTATATATATATATATATATATATATATATATATATATATATATATATATATGAGTAAATCTTATATGCACTGACAGTGTATATACTATCACGGTTGGATGCACGACACATGTGCAAAATTTAGGTTTCAAATTCAAATTCGAATTATGTGTCATGCATCAAATGGTGGAAGTGTATACTGTCAGTATATAGAAGATTAATTCTATATATATATAGGGATAATTTCAGAAACCTCTCCTGAGGTTTTTGACAATTTCACTGAGCTCCCCTAAGGTTTGAAAAATTGCACTTACCTTTCTTGATTTGATAATTTTAGTAACAAAACCTTAAAATAATATTGACTTGGTCAATTTTTTAAATGAATACCCAAAAATGCTCTTGTGTAATGAGTTTTAATTTATTTTTCTATACAATTATAAGATTATTTAGTATAATTATAAGGAAAAGGTGCCAAATTTTTCATATTCATATCTACTATTTGATAAACAACTATAATAATAATTTTATTATTATGATATGATACTTTTGATGGTATTTTATTATAGATTTAGATTTATAAGATAGAAAAGAAAATGTTGAAATAATTCATTTAGAGTTTATGAATTTTATGAAATTTTGGAATAGTGGAATTATCATAATTTAGTAATACTTTTGGGCCATTTTTTTATTTATTGTTAATTTTGATACCAAAAATAGAAAACAAAGATCATCAAAAACATTGGATTACATATAAAATTAACTCATCAAAAAAAATCACTAATTCGACATTTGATTAGATAGAAATTAGAGGCAATAGTAGTAATTCTACAGTTTTATTGGCGAAAATTTTTTAAAAAAGGAATAAGAAGGACAAAGAATGAAAAAATAATTTTAAAACTCATTCTAAGTATAAGCATACCAAATAAGGGAATTTCATTAAAATATTTAAGGATAAAATTGTCATTTTAAATAACAAGGGAGGTATATGTAATTTTTCAAACCTCAGGAGAGCTCAGTGAAATTGTTAGAAACCTCAAGGGAGGTTTCTGAAATTATCCCATATATATATAAACAAATGAAAGTTTCAGCTTCCAGTAGTGTTGGCTCTCCGGCGGATGGTTTTGGCTAGTCAAATTTTACATACAAAAGTGAGGGCAACCGCCATTTCATTTTATATGGTACTAGTTTTTTGCCCTGACGCTGTGCGTCAGGTAGTTGGGATTTCTTAATTTACTATAATGGGTATTAGTCTGGAAAATTGGAGTGTGAGAGGAGTAATTAATTTACTACAATAGGATTTGTTAGATATAGTGTTTTTGTATGTGCATGGGGAATGGACATATCGATGAATAGATTTAATGAGAATTTTAATTATGATTTAAAGGTTTTAATACAAACAAAAAGAATGTTAAAATGATGGAGTCACCTGAGAAGTGGCATCGCGAGAATTTTAATACGAGTGTTAATTATTTTCCAGTTTTACAATTTTTGTCGTAAGGCGTAGGAGCACAGGATAAAAAGATATATTTATAAAGGAAATAGATAAACTGTCACCTGATAAAATGATAGATGTAGTAGAACATTTCTAAACAAGAACGGCCAAAATGAGAGGAAATTGTTTTGCATGACAATATGGACAACTTGGAACATCGGGCAATACAGCAGGTTCTGTAGCTATTGTAGTTAATGGATCAGTCGTAGCTCATTTTCTAGACCGACGTTGCCTATGCAATGATGGTTCACCAGCATCTAAATTTGTTGATGGAATCTCGTTAGCACCATCAGCAATAGACGCAGATACATTTTGTTCATTTTCCTGCAAACCAGCCAAAGCATACTTAAGGACCATGAATTCAGTGTGGCTAAATCAGTCAATCTGAATTGTAATAGACAAAAACTAATATCTCACCCACTGGTTAGTCTAGCCATAGTACATGCCTAGATAAAACCACCGGTAATATAAGTAGTCTAACATTTATTTTATTGCAAGGGGTCTAAACAACAATCTTATTGCATGAAAGATGCTCAAAATAAGCACAAACATACGGTTGGAAATTGCTCTGCATCACTGAGCAATACTGCAGGCTCTGTAATTATTGTGGTCAATGGATTAGTCACAGAGCGTCTTGTACGCCGACGTCGCCTATGCAAAGATGATTCACCAGCATCTGAATTAGTCGTTGGAACCTCGCTAGCACCATTACCAGCAGACCTACATATATCTCCTTGATTTTCCTTTAAAACAACCAAAGCATAGTTAAAGATTGTGAGTTTAGTATGCTTAACTAAGTCAATCTCGTTTGTCTTACCAAAGTACATGCTTAGGCTTAACCACTGTTAACATAAATAATTTAACATTTATTCCAAAAGATTTAAACAACAATTTATATTGCATGAGACATGCTCAAAATAAGCACAGACATACAGCTCGAAAGTGCTCTGCATTGTTCTCTGCAAATGACAATACTGAGCCCGAACCTAATGAAGATTCAACGACACCCATATTTGGCTGATTCACAGCATTTCGGTCATGTATATTAAAAGCTGTGACAGCTAATGTACACACTCCTAATGGCGCATCATTCTTTGTCCCACGCTGAGCAGCAGCACGTTGCTCGCGGCTCCTTCGAGTTTTTCTCAGCACGAGCCTCTTCCAAACTTCCATATACTCTATTTCGACCCATTCTCAAAGCATATTATACACAGCTGAAGCGGAAACCAAACAGACTCCTAAAATGAACTATACAAAAAAACCACAGCAACAAAAAAAAATTTCCAGCGAAGCCAATCAAACAGTGAAGTACTTCAAAACCAAAAGAAACTTTCCCAAGTTATTTCCGAAGCTACCAAAAAAAACAAAAAAGAAGAGTGAAAGCTAAAAAAAAAGATCCTGCTGACCGCATAAATTGTTCAAGTTATTTCCGAAGCTGCGAAAGAAAACTAAGAAGAAAAATCAGAGCCAAAAAGAGATTGAGCTCACGGCCTAAGTTTGCTGAACAGTAAAGCACTTCAAAACCAAAAGAAACTTTCTCAAGTTATATTTGCTGAACAGCTGAGAACACAAGCAAGAAAACAATGAGAGCAAATTGGTGACCGAGAACGAGCAAAAGAGAATAAGAGCCATGCGGACCCACAAACCGCTTCGGACAGCAACGACCAACCACGCGTGTAAATTAAAAGAGAGCCACCTGGACATAAGTGGGAATGTACAACGAAACCACTGCCACCCATCATCAAAGGACGAAAAGGCCCCTCAAAGCCAGACAAATCACGGCATAACCGGCTCATCTGCACTGTTCACAAGGCGTTGGACGCTTTATATATGTAAGATTAGTCAGTATCTTCTTCTGCTGCTTTATTTTTGCTTTTAAGTAATAGTTCACCTGCTTCCGTGCCTTAATTAACAGTAAGTATTAGTATCTCAGTTAACCGCCATTTCATTTTATATGGGAGTAGTATTAGTCAATTAATATCTTCTTCTGCTGATTTATTTTTGCTTTTAAGTAATAATTCACCAATTTCACCTGCTTCCGTGCCTTAATTAACAGTAAGGATTATCTCAGTTAGGTTACTCCTATTATTGTGAATAGAATTATCGTGGGTTGACTTGGGAATTATCTTCTTCTCCAGTGATTATATGTTAAAAAGTCAAAGTGGGATGGCGATTGATGGTTGCAGCAATCTCACTCTTTCGTCAGCCTTGATGTTTTCTACACAGGTAAACGTGTTTGATAATAAAAAATATAATATTTTATTAATTAAATGATATTAAATTTTTTAAATAAAATTATTTTAAAAAATAAATAATAAACTATACACTCA